GTTATTGGTACAAGTCCATTGTCATATATAAATGTTGCAAATATTTTCACCCAAATTATGCCTTAATGATGTTTTTGGTACTTTTTTTTTTTTTTTGGTACCAGGGATCGAACTCGGGTCGTTGCGCATGCGCAGAAGGCGGCGAAACCACTGAGCTAAATCCCCAGCCCAATATATTATCTTTTAACAAAGGTTATCAAAATACTAAATGAAACCAAACTTAACAGTGAATTCTAAGTCATTACTCAAAACAAAAATTGCAAAAGCTGTAGCCAAATCATTATTACACAAGATCATATTATTTTTAACTTCCAGAAAATGGAAAGGTTAGGTCAGTACCTGCTTGTTTGGAAATGCTCGTATGCAGCGAGTCTGGTATTTCAGGCTGGACTCCCTGCGCTGCTGCACATAGCCCATGTTCCGTAAGTCCCACACTAACACTCTGCGGCCTGCTGTACCCACGATCAACCGGTCTCCAGACACTGAGAGTGTATATACCTTTTAGGAAAGATCAAAACTTGCTAAAAGCCATCTACTTTCTGAAAATGGCATTTCAACCCCAAATAAAGTCCATCGAATCACAAAACCATTAAAAAGTTAGCTTGATCAAGGTTCCCAAATGCAGGGAGGAATTTTAACATAATGCAGTTATTCAAACCAAATAATTCACAAAAAACACCAAACCCGGGATATTCTTAATACTTTACCAAATGTTCTACAAAAGTACATTCTAATTCTGTAGAAGTGCCTTCGAAAACCTAATTTTTTGGTGTGCTTTTCTTTTTTGTTTTCAAAACTTAACTAAAATAAATTAATCAATTTTCCCCAACCTGCTTGTTTCATTTAGAGACAATATAAAAGTAGGGGGAAAAAAATACTCAAAAATGAGACTTAGTAAAGCCATGAAATTTAAGATACCTTTCAGTAATCTTCTGGCTTTTCATTAAACAATAATTTTCAAAGTTATTTCTCTGACTGCCTTTTGCAGCTCTAAAAAGCTTGACTTTTTTCCAGCTGTTAGACTGAATAAATAAGCATTCCTGGGAAAAATGAGGGAGCCATCATTACCTAGCTGTTTGTTTTCGGTGGCACACAAACTCAAAATTTAAAGACAAGAACAGTGTTCTGCCCCGTAGTAAGGCTAATTCTTACACCCTTACATCATACTAAACATTCAAGACACAGAAGTTCATCTTTAGGGAAAATTTTAAAAAGCATTTAATCCCCTAAAAGTGTCTATTATTTTCTTCCTAATGCTTTTTCTGCAACATTAAAATTTCCACAAAATTTTTTTTACAATAAATCTTAGAATTTCCTGCAAGGAAAACACTTAGTAGTTTATTTATAAGTATAATGCTACTTGGAGACCAGAAGTGCTAAATTCATGAAAAAGGCAGCAAAAAAAAAAACAAAAAAAAAGTCCTTGAACACTTTACATGTCATTTAAAAAAAAAAAATCTATACTTGAGATCCATAATTGATTATTTTCAATTAATAAGCAATTCTAATCTTATTTTCTACCCTGAAGAATTATGATAAAAAATGCAGTGGGGGCTGGGGATGTTATAGCACTTGCCTAGCATGAGTGAGACCCTGGCTTTGCTCCCCAGCATCACATGAAAAAAAGTCAATAGGCCCCATCATATGTTAAGACATCTCTTTAACACTCAGTCATTAAACCATATGGTTAATAACCACTAGTACATTTACCACCAACCACCAGGAAAAAAACTAAGTTAGTTACCAATGCCACAAGAGCAGTCTCTACAATCTGGTTTTAAAACTCAACTGGTGTGACCAAAGGAAATACAAGAATTGAAAAGATTGAAAATAACAGATTTAGTGTGTGCAGATCTAAATATAAGGAGTATTGTAAAATCTATCACAGTTTATTTAGAAGGCAAAACATTTTTAGAAAAATGAAGTTAGTCTAAGATGTATGAAGTACCAAACCTAAATACAGAATCCAGAAAGAAATCGATTTATAATGGTACAATCATATTGAGAACTTTACCTTAAATCTTTACTATACAGGTGACATACAAGTTTCTAATACTGCTTTCTATCCCCACTGATCATAAATCAAGTGAAACCACTGTCGTGCTACTGACTAGGCATATGCATTTATCAAAGAAAGTATTAAAAAAAAATGACATAATGAACCTTGCTGAACCAATAAGCAGCTTGATTCAGTGTGGCTGTCCATTATATGATATTCCTTCAGCAATTTATCACAGTTCTTAACATGTTACATACAACCATAAATCAAACTAGAAACAATGCAATTATTTTATTCTGAACAAAGGTCTCACCAGGAGTAGATTCAACTGTGATATGACAAAAATAATGGCTCTTTGGATGCACCACTGTATATAATGATGGCTAACAAGAAATGAATAGTATATTTACACTGAGGAAACAGACTCCAGTGAAAGATACCTTTAAGCTGCTAAAACAATCAATCTTTAAAATTACCACCTGATAATCTGATGAGGCTATAACAAAAATGCTAAATTATACTTTCATAATACAGATCAAAAGGCTAAAGTAATATGCAGTTTCAGTTTTAAAAAGCTCCATTCACTAATGATTTTCAAACTACATCTGTCAGTATTTATATACAAAGTGTTATCAAAATATATGGTAAATGTTTAAATTTGTAAGAATTTATTTTAGTAAAACACTTTGCCATTAATCCCCCACAAAATAACCCACACACACACTTTAAACAGTCATCCCATTGTTCTTGCGACTTTCTGAAGCAGTTCTGGAAGCCCTCTTTCTTGTCTTTAGGTGGGATAATGAAAAATACAATGAATGCTGCTGTTGTGCCACCCAATAGAAAAGCAAGCTTGTACAAACGTTACAGTGCATCTAACACTGCAACTTCTGGCTCTTCCTCAAAATCAAAATGACCATGAGAAGTGAATGTTTAGAATCAATTCAGGACATCAAGGCAGCCATGACAGGCACAACTAAAGACACTCGTGAAAGAGAACTTTCAGAACTGCTTCAGAAAGTGCCAAGAACAATGGAATAAACAAGGGGGACTTTGAAGCAAGGGGGACTATTTTTGAGAAGTATTAATGGTAATGTGGCTTTTAATGTAATAAATTTTTTAATTTAAATATTTTTTATCATACCTCATACACAAAAGGGGTGACTGAAAACTACAATGAAACTTTAGATTAAAAAAAAAAATCATAAAAACTAAGATGCATCATGTTCTGGTACAACGATAAATGTAAATGTATTTTATACTAAAATGTACCAATAAATATATATATTTTAAAAAGAAAAAAAAAAAAAATCACAGTAAGGTACATCCCCAAGAACAATGGGATAAGGGTTTTGAAGCAAGTGGGAATATTCTAAGAGGGATTAATGTCAATGTGTCTTTCACTGTAATAAATTCTCTTTTTGGTTTCTAGAGACAGGGTCTCTCTATGTAATTCATGCTGACCGTCAATTCCCTGCATGGCACAAGCTGGTCTTGAAACTCATAGCCACCTTCCTGCCTCTGCAGGAAGTGCTGGGATTATAGGCATGCACCACCATACCTGGCTGCAATAATTTGTTGTTGTTGTTGTTAGTACCGGGGATCTAACTCAGGACCTTGCGCTTGTGAAGCAGATGGCAGAACCACTGAGCTAAATCCCGGCCCTACAATAATTTTTTTAATTTAAACATTCACTGTATCTTTTTGGAACACAGGATATCTTTCTCACTAAATTTGAAATGATAACCCAATTTCATCAATAGTCAACTCAAATGAAACTCTGAGGTCACAAATGAAAATGAGTGATGCTCCATCCCATTTTCTTGTTTGGTCACTTGAAACCCAATTTAAGATAATTGACGAGTTTTTGCAAAATGACTTCTCTGAAAAGGTAGTGAGCTCCTACTCAGTCCTGAGATTTAAATTATTAACAATACATAGAAACATGTTCATTTACACTTGTGCTCTCTAGTACTAGTGTAACAACGGACAGAAAAAGATGACCAGAATTCCAAAGTTAATTTCCTTTGTATTAAAGCATTTCTACACAGTTGGGTTTCTAAAACAGACACTGTCCACCCTCAATCTCTAAACTAAACGGCACATTCATCAAACACACATCAAGACAAATGACCCCATGGACTACAATTCTTCTGATAAATATTAAAATCCTACCTTTTCAGGCTGAGAGAAGGTGCCAGCATTACAAGGAGTTCTGGGATCCCACAATTTAACTGTCTGATCCCAACTTCCAGTAACCATCACATTCACTTCTGGACAGTATTCAACACATCTGATAGGGGCATCATGGGTTCCAACAAGATTTTCTATAGAAAAAAAAAAAAAGCTCTACTCCTTCCACTAAACAGATTCCTCAAATGAACAACTAAAGGAATACTCAACCGTAATGATTCTGTTCATCGAACTCCATGAAACTGTCTGCAACCAGAAAAATCTATGACTACAAAAAGTTATGCATTCTTCTCTGCTCACCTTACAATGTACAGTTCCATTTACTAGGATGGCATGTATAAAGAATACCTTGAATTTCAAATCACATTAAAATGGTGGCACATCTATTACCTTCCCCAAGTGACTCTAGGCTTACTAGGAACCCTGTACCTCTACGTTCATCTAGTACAAGACCTGTCTGATATGTTGAGTGAACAAATGAGTGGAAAACTCTACTGTTTTGGATCTTGACAACACTCATCTTTCACATTAAACCAATACTTACAAGAAGTTTATTTATGTGGTTACACAATTATGAGAGCTGAGGATGAAGTTTTACCTTCACTTGGTTTTCATGGCAAGTCAAATTTCCAGCATATAACTTCTTTCCTACCAATTTCAACTTCCACAATATTTCATTTATTCATTCAACTAACTACTAAATGTCTACTATGTGCCAAAATCCATACAACCTGCTAAGAATACAAGAATAAATAGTATTAGTCTTGATTCTCAAGAACATTACCTTTTTAAAAATTATTTCAAAAAGTTCAATGGTACCTTGGTTCATGAATTTAATTTGTTCCACAATTCTGAGGAAAATGGCCATGTTCATGTTCGCGCAAAAAAGATAGCCGCAGTCATGTTCATCACCCCATGCAAAGTTCACAAACAATAGCGAAATTTGGCCAAATGTTTCTGTTTGTGAATCATATTGTTCACAAACAAAAGCACTCATGAACCAAGGTCCTACTGTATCTCAGGTTTAGCAATGACCTTCAAAGAAGAAGCAATTAATTCTCTTAAGTAAATCTATTAAATAATCTTTTCACCTGCCTCACAAGCGCAGGGACCCGAGTTCAATCCCCAGTACCAAAAAAAAAAATCTTTTAAGTTTGCTTTTACCGAGTTTTCAAATAAGCAGGACTTAAACCTACAGGCTAATTTACTACACAGGGCAAAATACTGACAAAGAAAACCAAACACAAGCAATTAAAAACTACATAAGAAAGGAGCCAGGGATTTAGCTCAGCACAAGGTCCTGAGTTCAGTCCTGAGTACAGTGCAAAAAAAAAAAAAAAAAATTACATAAGAAAGTGACTTTCACACAAAAAAACCTTTTCCGATTAGATGCTTGTATTTTTTGACAAACTGCATCCATCTTCCCACCCAGCCTCTTGTCATCCAACCTGGCCTCTATACTTTACATCCCTGTGCCCTGCTACCTCTTTCAAGTATACCTATGACTAATGTGATGACAGAGAACTCTGCATTTGAGTTTGAATTCCAATCTCTACTCTGCTTCAGTGTTATCATAAAAACCTGAGTAAGTCATTTCATATCTGAGATTCTAAGAAATTACTTCCTTCCAAATGCAACTGAACTATATATTCTACTGCTACATCACATACAAGCAGGACTAATATAAACTTGCTTAGCTATTTTGTCTTTTTAACATACTTTCCTTCAGATTAAACTAAATTAGCTTCTGAAAAAGAGAACCCTAAAACACCTGCACTGTCCTGGAAAATCTTAATGTAAGACAGACCACTACAGGATCCAGTCTACTTCTAAGGACCAGGTAAAGATCAAATTCTTATGTATTACTTCATGTAAACACTTAAAAGACAGTGATCAAAATGGGCTTTACTGCAAAAATAATGTGATCAACTAATGTTTACCATTTAAACAAAAGAATCCTAAATTCACAACCACTTTTACCTGCACCTATGCAACTTAGCCATTAAGTAATTCAGCAACTACTCTTCCTACATAAACAATTATATCTTAATATAACCTTAATATATCAGTGAAGAAAAACTGGTAAAAAATGTGATATTACCTTGATCAGTGTTCAAATCATGCATTTTCAACTGATGATCTAATCCCCCACTCCACGCATGTGTTGGATCCTATAAATTAAAGTTTTGAACCATTTAAAACTTGCAGAGCTTTACAGAGCATTTCAAAATTCCTATTTTTCCAGCCAACTACTCAGGCTGCCCTCAGAATGATATACTGAGCAGTTATTCATTGTAAACAAATACAAAAACAGTACACAAAAGTGGTCAGCAATTTAAGCAGGCTGCTTTAACCTGAGGACTCCAATAGCTGAGAGTAAATAGGTATTCCTTGTGAACATTACTTTTAATAAGGCAGCTAAATTAGTCTTGCTGCAAATTTCAAATACAAGTATCATATGGCCAAAGGTTATAAGATTACTCTGTAACTCTGACTTTCAAAGATCAGACAGAGCTTGCATGTCCTCAATGCCAAAACACACATAAAATTCACAAAAACCATACCTGGCTCAAGGCAGGTACAGTAAGTATTCCACAACAGCTAAGGAGCAGTCCAAATAATTCCCCTTACAGAAGCCTCTACCCAATACTAGCAATGCTATGCTACTAACATGGTGTAACATAATACAGTAAGAAGGCAGGCGTGTTAACTGAGGCCACCTACATAGAACGCGCAGTCCAGGACCGCGCCAGTGTGCTGGTACTTGAGCCGCATGGAGTTGGCTGGTACGTCGTAGAGCCGCACCGACGTGTCCCAGGAAGAGACTAGCAGGAACTGGGAAGTATTGGGGCTGAACTTCACAGAGGAGATGCCATCCTCCGGTGGCTGGTTCAACTTGAACTCGTTAGAACCCGTCATCTGCAGAACACCAGTCGGGTCAGAGCTCCCAAGGGTCCCGAGGTCGAGGGCGGGCTAAGGCCAGAGGCGGGCCGCGTACGTGGGGGGGGAACCCCAGCAGGTAGAGGTGGAACTAGGGCGAGGAGTCTGCGCCTGCGCAGAGCCTGAACCCGCCGGGGTCGGGACTCGCCCACACCATCCCGTCCCAGCCACGCCCCAAGGCGCTAGGCCCGCTCGGCCGCCCGCTAACCGCACCTCTCGGCCTCTCCGGCCACGAGTCTACACTTGGTTCTTCTCCTCCCCTCCCCCGGGTCCACAAAGTAATAAAAGAAAAAACGACAAAAGCAAAGCCCCCACCCCCCACCCCGCGCACACGGCTCCGCCTGCAGCGGGCCTAGGAAGTCTGTGGCGAATCCCCTCTGGCGCCGTGTCGCCTCGCCCCGCTACCTTGGCCTCCCAACAGAAGCAAATGCCTCAGTCTCCAGTCACGGCCGCCGCCTCCTCGGTTCCCTCGGAGCTGTCTCCGGTTAGGCGATGGACGCGGAAAGGAAGTTCCAGTACAGGCCTGCCATTGGTTGGTTTCAAACGCCAACGGCTGGCTCTAGGCAGCCGATTGGTCCTATCAGTTGCCGGCCTCGGTCAACGCAGTCATCCTGTTCCGGCTCAAAGGGAAACCGCGGTTTTCCGACCACGTGGTCTCATCACGCTCCAAATTGAGGCAGCGCGCTCAAACTGGAGGAGCAGAAACTCCAACTCCCAAGAAGCATCTCGCCAAGGCAGCGCTCACGCCTGCCCGCGCCCCTACGCGGCACGCTGGGAAACGTAGTTTCCGTAGAGTCGAACCCCCTCCTTGTTCTCTAAATAGTAGGCGGCAGTCCAGCTCTGCGCCTGGCTCTTTCCCGCCTCGGTCTCTCAGACCCAAGAAGCCCATTTTGGTCAATAGTCCTATAGAGCTAAATTATTCTTTTCTTTTCTGGGCGTACATACGCTTGTCAAACGAACCAAAAATTGAAGTAGAGAAGGAACTATTGCTCCAGTCAACTGCACTATTTTCCCTTGATTTCTCTCTCAATTTCCTGTAGTTTTCACCTATGAACCAGGGACTCACATTTCTCATTGTGTTAAGTTCTGCTGATCGCACAGAAACTCGTCTTTATTTCTATTATACTTTGTCTCGCCACCCCAATCTTTCCACATTTACTAGGCATCCATGTATGCCAGGCCTAATTAAAGGTTCTGGGCAGACGCATTTAATCAGACTAGTCTTTGTTCTGAAGGAACACCCTGTCCAGGAGGGAGTACAGACTAAGAAACAAATACTCTGCAATGTGTTAAATTCAAACAGCTTCTTGTAGAGATACGTTCATCGTGGAATCCTAAAATGATAGCAACAAACGTCTCCCTGTCCATCTTGTCCTCAGTTTACTACACTTTCTCACTCCTGAGTCCTCCAGAAATACAAAGATCAAGAAGGCTGCTTCGATAATAAGAAGTGATGTTATCTCCATGAAAGAAACACAATTCTTAATGGGTAGAACGCCGTGACTTGATTGCTCTTGCACCTCAAAGTCTTACTGAAATTTTTCAATGTAATCCACACTACAACTTCTTTTTTTACTGCCTTTCTAGAGAAAAATCCTTATTTTGTATAAAGTGGGAGGCAAATGTTGGGGTTAAAATGTTTAACTTTGAAGGTATATTAATGGGAGAAAGTTGTTGATCTTTATGCATTCATACATTCTGAATGAGATGCACTTCTGATTCCTGACAATAAACATACACAAAACCCTTCTACCTATTGCACCGATGATGTTACTGCTAAAAGATTCTTGCCCTTTTTTCTCACTAGTCCTTGTATTGAGTTCTGTGTCTTCTCTTTCAACAAGTTGGTGTCCAAGTCGAAAATTTTTAAATGCAATGCCTTACTCCCATTCTAACTTTAGCTAAATAATTTTATCTCGTGACTTATTTGGTTGCCTCTGCCAGTTGTTTATTTAATTCTATTAGTGTTTTGAGATTCTGAGCATAAATTACCCACTAATAAAATAAAAATGTATTTCATTATTCAGTGTGTGTATGATTCAGGTCCCTCTGGGAATGCAGTTACAGCCCAACTCAATTTGAGTTTTAAGAAACGTCAATCTTTTAAATCCAGTTTAGAGCCTGAAAGGAGACTGATGATTTTGTTGATTATTCAAATGAATTGATAGGCTCAAAATAGGAAATCTGGCAACAATGGATTCTTGAACATTTTAAATCGAAATGCAGTCATGTTTGTGTGTGTGTGTGTAAAAGTTGCCTGTAAGAGAAATTCCTAGAAACTAATTACACTATTGGATCACCTGTAACTGCTAACTTCTGGATTATTAAAAAGGGTGAGCTATACACTATCTGACACAAACTGGAAAAGGATCCTCCCCTAAAATCTAAGAATAAACTCTATCACTAAATGCCTATATTACTAGAGGAAACTCCCTCCTACATCAGAAGCAAGCCTAAAGCGAATGTTTTGACTCAATACTATCAAAACCCTCATTAAACCATAATCCGTTAAAATGAAAACAAATATGGTATGGATGGACTATTCTCACACAAGAAGTTGCTTGGAAGTAATTTGGTTGTTTCTGCATGGAATATTCAAACAGCAACGTTAGGGGGAAAGAATGTAAGAAGGTCATCTGAAGATGAAAACCCAGTAAAATAAAATGTATGTACACAATAAATCAGAAAACTGATCTATGTCACTTTTGTTCTCTCTCTGACAACCCAAAACTTAGTGTAGGTTCTCAACACATACTAGGACCCAGTAAATATTAACGTGAACTTGGTTGAAATGCAGTAAATGCAATTGAACCAAGTACGGTCATCTTCTGACTTGGAACAGTGGTGATTTTTCAAAGCCAATGCAAGAAGAAAAACTTGGACAATATCAGAAAATCTTTTTGGTCAGGCATTTAACACAGAATACTGTGGGTCACATAAACGTTTACAGATAATCTGTATATTTCACAAAATGCAGATAATTTTGATGCCTTTTGGCTCAAAGAGACAAGTCTCTCACCCAAATGTTTCCCTTCTAGAGGCAGACTCCAGCTTTTTGGCACCAACTTAGCGGGATACCGGCGGGAGGCTGAAGGACCTCGGTCTACAAGGAGCTCCCTCGTGTTTCCATTTTCTACATTTTACAAGGAACAGGTGGCTGCGAAGTCACCGGAGAGAGGGGCTTCGCTTTGCATTACTCTTACGCGGCTAATCTCTCCGCGCAGCGTCTTCTTCGCCCCAGCCGCGGCGGTGTCTGGGCACCGAAGTCCTTGGGCGCCTTCGCCGCGCATCACTGCTGCATACAGAGAGCGGGTGCTCGCTGGCTAGTCCTCTAGCCATTTAGCCAAGCACAATGCAAACTACTGTATTAACAACAAAAGAGTGGGGGGAAGCGCCTTTGCTCCTGCGCCTTCTTTCCGACCTCGGATCCCTGTGTGGCTTTGCTGCATTCAGCTCCTGCTACGCGTGAGACGAGAAACTGTGTCTTCAGCTGAAGAACTGTGCTTGGCTGTGAGCCGGTCGCGGCTCAATGCGACACCTGGACGCTTTACCAGCTGAGAAGCGGCGCCGCCGCCTGCCCTACGTTGGAGAAGAGGCACTCAGGCCTAGCTTGGGCTACGTCGTCGTGTGCCCTGCTGCGGCCGAGCCCAAGGCGGTACAGTGCAAGGAAGATGCTCTTTGCGCCCTGGCCCTGCTCATTCCCTGAAGGCAACCGCTTCCGCCGCACAACCAGCCTCCTTGCCTTTGTCTTTCCAGGCGCGGGCTCTGGAGCCAGATCCACCCGGAGTGTGCCCCAGCCCGCGCCAAGATTATGGGGACTGCAAGTGAGGACTGGGAAGTGTGGCCGGAGCAGCGATCACTTCCTGACATTTTACCCTTGACCCCGCCCCGCCCTCCACGTGGAACAACCCAGAGCTCCGCCACTGAAAAGGAGAAAGCCTCCTGCGCCTTATTATGCAGGATAACCAGTCCCTCCTTATCAACGATGTTTAAAATGTTTTATTTTTTTCTTTTAAAATATTTACAGATCTGAACTATCCCCATTTCACCCCTACCCATCCTCAGGATGAAGGAAACGAAAAGAGGTGATTAGATCAATGTCCAAAGCCCCAGAGAGTCTGATTTGGCCGAGTGTGAGTGCGTGTACATATACCCAGGTGTATACATGGGCAAGGAGTATATCTAGTTTCGTTGGTGTTTTCAGATTTTTTCCTACTAACCCAAGCCGATCTGGCCACAACTCCCTTTCCCGCCACAACCCAAAAATAATCCCCCTCCAATCTGGTTTTCAAAACGCATTGGTCTGGTTTAGGTGGAAAGCAGGCGATCCGGCTTGAGGAATGCCGATAAATACCCGAACAAAACAAAAACGTAGGGCAGAGCCCATAAATAAGAGATAATGAATACACATGGTGTATTTCTTAATATTTCTGGAAACACGCCCTTTTGCCCTGGAGCCCTGTGAAGGGTGCAAGCCGAGCCAGGGTCCGCGGGCAGGTGGAGGCGGGTGGCCGGCGGGCAGGTCAGTAGTCGAGCTTGTTGTACAGGTTGTAGAGCGGTAAGGCCGAGAGGTTGCTGCTAGGGTAGTAGAGCGGCGCGGGGAAGGCGAGAGAGCGCGGCACCGGCACGCGCAGCAGCGAGCTGTCCCGGAACACCAGCGGCATGCCCACCAGAGTCTGCGCCGACGCGTGCGCCATGTTGGCCGCCTCCAGCTCCGCAGAGAGCTGCCGCTTCCACTTGTTGCGGCGGTTCTGGAACCAAGTCTTGACCTGGGTCTCGGTGAGCTGCAGACTGGAGGCGAGGCAGGCACGCTCCGAGCTGCTCAGGTAGCGCTTCATGTCGAAGGTGGACTCCAGCTGGTACACCTGGCTGCGCGAGAAGACGGTGCGCGTCTTCTTCTTGGCCGCTCCCACCTGCCGCTCAGCACCGCCGTCCCGCGGCCGCTCGGGCCCTGGCGAGGGCGAGCCTGCGGCCAAGAGCCTCTCTTTCTCCTCCTTAAAGTCCGAGTGTGAAGGGGAGAGGAAAGGCGTGCGCTCCGAGCCCGCTGGCCCAGCGCCTCCGCTGCCTTTCGGCGTACCTGAGGAGCGAGAACAGACAGGGAGGCCATGGAGTTATAGAGTCCTCCGGCTCTTCCCAGGACCAGGGGGTTGGCAGACACCTTGGTCCCATGTTTCCAACCCCCTCCTCTTCTCCCTTTTGCTGCCACCCAAAGTTCAGCACCCAGGCCTTTAAAAGCAACAGGAGAGGAACTCAGCTAATTTGAGGCTGGGGTCTGTGGGCCCCACCCTTCTGAAAAGACAGGTGGCAGCAAGGGGAGGAGGTCTGGACGGAGAACATTAAGATCATTTAAACGGAGATTTTGCCTTGTAATAACTGAGCTGGAAGAGTTCCTCCAGCTTTATAGGGTGGCATAATTTCACAGGTCATTTATTTGTAAATCATGCTAAGGACTAACGCCGGGCCCTCCTTCATCAAATATTGTAAAGAGGAACCATCTCTAAAACGCACGATTGTCAATCATCTTAGAGTGCTAATCATTCCCAGGGGGTGACAGAGACAGAAAGAGGAGGGAAAAGACGAAAAGAGATTGCAGTAGACACAACTCTCACACTGGACTGACAGACTTTGT